GATTGGAAGTGGTACAATTGGAGAGACAAAGAGAGATCTTCCATCTGCTATTTCACACCTTAGATGGTTGCAACAGCTGGCACTGGGCCAGGCCAACACCAGGAGCTTCTTCTAGCTCTCCATGAGGGTAGCAGGTGCCCAAATCTACTGCTGATTTTCCCAGGCCATTAGCATGGAGCTGGATCAGAAGTAGAGCAGCCAGGTCATGAACCGATGCCCTCATGGAATGGACAGCATTGCAGGTGATAGTTTAACTGATTACACCAAAATGCTGGCCCCAAATAAATAAATCTTACAGACGATAAGAATAACAGGTGGTGGCACTGGTGGCACTGTAATGTAGCTAGTAAAGCACTGCCTGCAGTGCTGGCATCCCTAAGGGCGCCAGCTCTAGTCCCGGCTGCTCCACTTCCAATCCAGCTCTCTGCTGTGGCCTGGGAAAGCAGTAGAAGATGGCCCAAGTCCTTGGGCCCCTGTACCCGCATGGGAGACCCAGAGGAGGCACTTGGCTTCGGATCAGCACAGCTGTAGCAGTTACAGCCATCTGGGGAGTAAACCAGCTGAAGGAAGGCCTCTCTAATAAGTAAAATAAATAATCTTTCAAAAAAATGAGAAAAGGAATTTTGCAGGCCATACAAATATATCTGAGAAGGAATTAATACAATCAGAATTTATAGAATTCAACAACAAAACCAAGTTTAAAAATGGGCACAGGACTTCAATAGACATTTCTCCAAAGAAAATATACAAATGGCCAATAAGCCCATGAAAAGATGCCTAACATCATTCATCATCAGGGAAATGCAAATCAAAACTATAATGAAATACCACTCCATATCCACTAGGAAGGATACTATCCAAAAAACAGAAAATAACAAATACTGATGAGGATATGAAGAAATTGGAATCCTTGTACAGTTTTGGAGGGAATGTAAAATGGTACAGCCACTGTGAAAAATAGTATGATGCAAAAATTAAAAAAAACAGAAAAGAAATGAAGGAAGGATGGGGATTGAGAGAAAGAGAGGAAGGGAAGGAAATATGGTTATCTTCTTATAATTGTACCTATGAAATACATGAAAACTGTTCTCCTTGTATTAAAATTGTTTTAGAACTATTATATTTGCTAAAGCTTTTATACATTAGAAAAAGAAGATGAAAAGGGACTGTCATTGTGAGGTAGCTGGAAAAGCCACTGTTTGCAATGTAGGCATCCCATATGGGCACCACTTCATGTCTCAGCTATTCCACTTCCAATCCAGCTCCCTGCTAATGGCCTGGAAAAGCAGAGGAACATGGCCAGAGTGAATGGGTCTGTGCTACCCTCATGAGAGATGTGGAAGAAGATCCTGGCTTCGACCTGGCACAGCACTGACCGTTGCAACCTTCTGGGGAGTGAACCAGTGGAGGGACGCTCTCTCTCTCTCCCTCTATAACTCTGTCTTTCAAATAAATGAATAAATCATTTTTAAAAAGATAATATATTCGTTCTTAAAAATTAAAAATAAGAATTATGTGATTCAGTAATTGCACTTCTGGCTAACTGGCAAAAAGACCTGAAAACTAGGCCTTGAAGGGATACCTTTATAGCAACATTATTCACAATAGCCAATATGGGGAACCATCCCAAGTGTCTACTGACAGACAAATGAATAAGCAGAATGTGGTACACTGATATAACGGGATATTATTGAGCTTAAAATGAAGAAAATTCTGAATAACAACATGAACCTTGATGACATTAAGAGAAGCCAGTTACAAAGATACTGTATGAAGACTCCATTTTCATATACAGTATTTTGAGTAGTCAAAACTATGGACAGCTAATTGTACTTATCAAGGGTTAGGGTGAGAGGGAAATCGGGAGTTATTGTTTAAGAAATATAAAATTTGAGTTTTTCAAGATGAAAACAGTTATAGAGAAGAACGGTGGTGATAAGTCACAATATCATAAATGTACTTACTATTACTTAACTGGACACCTGAAGAGAGTTAAAAAGATAAATTTTCTATTATATGTATTTGGAGCACAATTTTTAAAATCAGGAAAAATTGGAGGGTGGGTATTTGTAAGGGGAGGGTCAGAAAGTTGGCCAGTAGCATGAAGGGATCTGTTAACTTCAGCCTCTGGGTCAAATCCGGCCCTTGCCCTGCCAAAGATCTAAAGTGATTTTTACAGTTGTAAAGGGTTATGAAAGAAAAAGAGAGAGGACTATGCAACAGAGACCACGTGCAGTCTGCAAAGTCTACAGTTTAAATTAAAATAAACATTTACTTGTCTGGGCCCTTTACAAATAAGATATGCCCACCCACTAGGGCCTCATAACTCCTAAGTTGCTTACTTATTTAAAGCTTAATGACATATTTTTGCAGGAGGAAGTCTATTTGAAACAGAAAAAGCTAACCTTAAAAGAAAAGCAAAAAGTCTGTATACCAAAAATTACTGTAGATATCAGACACAACTTAAACACTTTTTATTGTAATAAAACCAGAAGAATGCTCTTCTAAGGCATGGCTTGAAATGTATGAGACCAAAAAAAAATCAAGTTCAAGATAATGGTTAAAAACGGATGAAGGAAGAGCCATGCAGTTGGGCACACAGGAGGCTGCAGCTGTAAGGGTTGTCTTGTTTCTTAATCTGGGTGATGGATACACAAATATTTGCTACATTGTTCTTCATAACTTTTTATAAATATGAAGTAGGTTGTAACAATTAAAAAATGAAAGAAAATAAAAGCAAACAGAAAAGGTACTACTGCCTGGTTTCATTAAACAACCAAAATAACTTGAAATTTGCATTCGTCATACGTGCTTTTTTTTTTTTTTTTCCAGTCTTCAAAGCAAGTTACTATTAACAAAAGCCCCAGAGTGCAACTGGTATGCATCATTAACTCGACTTAAGATCACCATCAAATTTTCTCTCAGGCACCTAGTCTAGGAACCTAGTCATCCCCTTTGAATTAAGTCATCAGGGCTGAGTAAACAACAATCTAAGAAACTGTGTTGATCTGGCTTTTTGAAAATAACAAATCCGCACACGTTTGGATTTACCGAAAAGTTGCAACAGCCTCCTTTAACAATAGCAAAAAAAGCGAACACACAGAATACACCTAACACCAGTCAACGGTGGAGAGCATCTAAAAAGTTGAATAAATCAGTCTCTAGTTAAGCAGCAGTTTCTACAAGTCTGTTCTTCTCTACCGGCTCATTTTAAAATTGAGAAGTTGTTAGGGACCAGTTGGAGGAGAAAGGAACACATGGAGATAATCCCTCATCTGGAAAAATCTGTCTCCCTCTGGTCTATAAAGAGGCAGGCAGATGAAACAAACTCAAGTCCAAGTTGCAGCACAACCAGATGAACTAGCTCAAGTTGTCTTGCTCCTTTAAACTCACAAGCTCACTTAACAAGTTGAATTTTCAGGTCTAACTAAAGGGATGTTTGCTTGTTTAGCAGAGATGAAGACCCCGCATGCAAACAAGAGCACAAGCGATTACTTTTTCAGAGATGAAGATGCACAAACGATTACTTTCATAGAGAGGAAGATGACGACAATGGCAAGGTTAAATACTAAAACATCTGCAAAGGGGGACACGGTTTGACTTCCAAACCGACTGCATCGAGCGGCACTTCCAAGTGACACAGAAATACAGACATTTAAAGAAAGCACTTCCCATCAAGTTCTCCTGAACAGCGTTTAATCACAGCATGTGTGACACAACCCTCGCTCTCCCCGGTACATCTCACAGCAGCTTCATGTCATTTCTACCCAACAAAGAGAGGCTCGCGGAACCGTCTCCGCAACCGCGCAGCAGCGAGCAGAGCAGAAAAGCCCCGCACCTCCGAAGCCGCCAGGCTCTCCCTACCTGCATCTCACCACCACCTGGATGTTCTTCCCCTTCTCATCCTTCTTCTTCGCAGAGGAGTTCGGCTGCGACGCCATGACTGTCCTCGCCGAAAAATCGAGGCCCGGCCGCGGGCTCGGGCGACGCGGAGCGCCGAGGGGCTGGAAGCCCGCCGCGGGCCTGGCTGCCCACTCCCCCACCGGGTGCTGGCGTGCCCAGGAGGGCCGACGCACGCAGGTCGGCGTCCCCGCTGTCCACGGGGGGCTCTGACTGGCCGCGGCGCCGGTCCCGAACCAGCCGTACTGGCCGAATCGCCAATCTCGTTTCCGCCCAGAAACCGAGCAACGACTCGGCGCCTCAATTTGAAAAAGGAGCCGAATCGCCAAGCCAATAGCAGCGCAGGCGCGCAAGGCACCATGGGAAGCGGTGTCGTCACGGGAGCCCCGGCGTCGGGGGCGTGGCCTGCGGGACAGGAAAAGCCGATCTGCTTGCCGCCACCGGGAATTCGCCGCCGGAGGAAGCGGCGCGGGGACTGCGGACTAAGACGTTTCAGCGTGGAATGGCTCGAACACGACGTCTCTAAACCAGAGTACCCTCATCTGCAAAATGGAAGAAGTAGCCGCCGTCCCAGAGGGCTGCGATGGGAAGGAATGAGCTCGGGTGGTAAATAGCTTAGATCAGAGCATATGGTAAACGCTCCAAAAGCGCAGGCCATGATCAGAATTTTTAGGGAATTGCCACAGTGACGCGGAAGCACGAAAGAGCGAGGTCCCAAGCGAACCGCCCTCCTGGAGTACAATTAGGAAGTGTTGAGAGGTAAAGCTAAAAACGAGTACCAAATCGTGAGGAAAAGGACCTTCGTGCCATTTGAAGGGCTGGGAATTTATCCCTTAGCTGGTAAAAGTCACATGGCTACGGGGTTCCAAGCTAGAAACCAAGGTCGGATTTGTAGCGACTGATGGCACTCTGGAAGGTTACTCTGCCCTCGTCGCCGGCCTACAACTCCCAGCATGCCGCGCTCTTCGGGGCCTGTGGCTCTCGCCGCCCGCCTACAACTCCCAGCATGCCGCGCTCTTCGGGGCCTGTGGCTCTCGCCGCCCGCCTACAACTCCCAGCATGCTGCGCTCTTCGGGGCCTGTGGCTTTCGCCGCCCGCCTACAACTCCCAGCAATGCCGCACATGCCGGTGCTTCGACGCTCTGCGGCCGCCGGCTTGCCGTAGGCGAGCTACCGACTCAACTGCATTGCGGGTGTTGATCCTGCGGTGTAAGGTGAAGCTTGCGGGCCCAGGAAATACTGGATTAGAGGTCTGTGCCAGAGTCGGTCCTGGAGCTGCGCTTCTAGCCCACACTTAACCCACAGTGTTCTAGACATCCTTTTAGAGTCTTACGTAACGGCTTGGTGGGAGGAAAGCTCTCTTGTTCCATTGTGTTCGTCCAGTGACTTACCCCCTACCTGCCCCTTGAGAAAGCATCTCCATCTACAGCTCAGACCGCTCGCCATAGTCCTGCATGGCCAGCTGCTATCTCCTCACAGTAGACACGGTTCATCCGCATCTCAAGATGACCTGACGAGAATAGAGCTCTGTCCCCTTCCTTCCACCGTAATCTTTCTCGTCTAGACTCTTGGTGTTAACTAGAACCTTTGATTCCTCCACAGCTTAGTGCAGCCCCATTGGTTTTATCTCCTCTCAGTACCCTAGTCCAAGGCTCTTTCCGCTTCACCAATCAGCTACAAGTTGCCTTACTTTTCTCCTCCCCGCACTGCACTCACTCGGCACGATCACATCCTTCATCTGCTTTTTGTCCTACAACAGCCTCTCATTGCACTTGGAGTGGAACCCAAACTCCCTACTGTTCCCGGTTAGCTCCTGGTGCTCTGGCCTCTAGCGGCTTTCCACATATCACTACCATGCTTCGGATCTTTCTACGTGACCCCTTCCCCAACACACACCACTCAAAGCCTTTGTACCTGATGACCCCTTTGCCTCAGACTCTTCCCTAGTTCTTTACCTGGCTTGCTCATTTTCATCCTCCAGGCCTCAGCCCAACTTTGTGTATTAAAAGGTCTCTCCTGACCACGCTATCTTTTCTCTCTTTCTTTTTATTTATTTATTTATTTGACAGGTAGAGTTACAGAAAGAGAGAGAGAGTGGGCAGTGAGAGAGAGAGAGAGACAAAGAGAAAGGTCTTCCTTTGCCGTTGGTTTACCCTCCAATGGCTGCCGCGGCCGGCACGCTGTGGCCAGCACAAGCGCTGATCCGATGGCAGGAGCCAGGTACTTATCCTGGTCTCCCATGGGGTGCAGGGGCCAAGCACTTGGGCCATCCTCCACTGCACTCCCGGGCCACAGCAGAGAGCTGGCCTGGAAGAGGGGCAACCGGGACAGAATCCAGCACCCCGACCAGGACTAGAACCCGGTGTGCTGGCGCCGCAAGGCGGAGGATTAGCCTGGGGAGCCGCGACACCGGCTTTGTAGTATCTTGAACAGAGCTTTACACAAAGTAGTTGCTCAGTAAGTAGGTACTTGCATTGAAAGCCTGAAGGAAATTTAACCTCTCTCAGGCTTGGAGATAATAATAATTACTATTACGATGAGCAGTAAAATAATAACATATAATGTACCTGGCACATAATAGGCACACACAAAAATACCTCCTTTTTCAGTAATAAGCATCTAACCAGTATAATAACAATCTTGGGTTGCTACAAGAAATGTAAGAGTTTCCAATTGATTTACAGATAACAGCTACATGTCTTAGTCCATTTTCTATTGCTATAGCAATACCCAAGACCTAGTAATTTTTAAATTATATATAAAGAATAGAGCTTTATCTTGCTCATACTTTTGGAGCCTGGGGAGTCCAAGAGCCTGGTGCCAGCATTTGGTGCTGGCTTCATTGCTGTCTCCTGACATGGTGGAGGGCGTCGTGTGGTGAGACAGGACAGGCCTGCTAGCTCAGGTCTCCCTAACTGTCCCCATAAAGCCACTGATGATATCATGGGAACCCCCACCTTCTTGGCCTCATCCAGTCCTAACTACCTTAACATATGATTTTTGGGGTTAAGTCTTCAATACATGAACCCCTGCTACAAATGTAGAAAACTAGGATGGAGTTCCCAGCTCCTGGCTGTGGCCTGGCCCAGACCTTGCCATGTAAGCCCTTTGGGGTGTGAGCCAGAGAATGGAAGATCTCTCTTTCTCTCTCTTTCCCCCCTTTTGATTACTGTGTTTTTCAGATAAATAAAACTTTTTTTAAAAAAGTTCTGAGGCTTATAACATTAACAAAAGGTACTTCTGTGCTTTTTCCCACCCAATACCTCCAGACCTTCACGCCAGAAGCAAACACTTTCAATTCTTTTAGCTGTTTGTTCTAGTATTTACGTGTATTCATTTAAAAAAAATATTTTATTCACTTGAAAGAGTTAGAGAGAGGTAGAGACAGAGAGTCTTCTATCTGCTGGTTCACTCCCCAAAAGGCCGTAGTGACCAGAGTTGCGCCAATCCGAAGCCAGGAGCCAGGAGCTTCTTCCAGGTCTCCCACGTGGGTACAGGGGCCCAAGAACTTGAGCCATCCTCTACTGCTTTCCCAGGCCATAACAGAGAGCTGGATCGGAAGTGGAGCAGCCAGGTCTTGAACCTGTGCCCATATGGGATGCTGGCGCTTCAGACCAGAGCTTTAACCTGCTGTGCCACAGCGCCAGCCCCAATATGTATGCATTTTTATAACGAGTTTGTATAGATTATTATGTTTTGATTAGCCAACTTTAGTCATTATTTATTAACTTACTGTAGTAGATAACAAAATAGTTATCAACCTTTTCCATCCTCTCCACTTTCCTTTTCCCAAATGCCCAATATTACAATTTTTGGTTAAATCAATAATCTGTATTTAGATTACTGTGCCTCTTCATAGCTGAGCATTTTATTCTAGTGACTAGACTAGAAATTTTGCAATGATGTGCTTTGATGTGTCTATTTTCATCCATTGGGTTGGACAATCCTTTCAATCTGGCAACTCATTTACTTCAGTTCTGGGAAATGTGTTTTAATTATTCATTGAACATTTCACTCATTTTCTCTGTCCTTTCTTTATGGAACTCGTATATATAGATATTAGATTTCACCATGCAGTGATTATTACTGTTGATGTTTTGATGTATTTTTTTCCAATTGTCTACATGTGTATTTTAAATCATTGAGATCATACTGGAATATGTATTTTATTATGTTTTAATTTTTAAAAATTATATATATAAACATATATGGAATACAGTGTGAACATTCAATACATGTATGTAGTTTGCATGCTGAATTTTTGTTGAACATAACTTTCAGTATTCTTCCAAGAGCTTAAAAATTCTTCATAAGCATCATTTATTTGTCATGCTCTTTTAGGGCTCTTAAGTAACACCGAGGCAATACTCAAAGAACAGCTGAAGAGTATGTAGTTGGCCTTAACCTTCTGTAGTTGCCAACATCGTGTTAAGTTCTGTTAGTGAATGTGTGTGGGTATTAATGCTAGAGAGAACAGTAAGGAGATCTGTATTTGTGTATATGGTGAGGGAAAAATATAGCTCATAAACTGTTAATGAACTTGTTAAAAAAAAAAAGTGTAAAAATGCTTGCGGGTAGTTTTCCCAAATCCAGATCTTGGTTACCATTTTTAGTGTTCTAGCAGTAGAATCTCAGTTGCAAAGGCAAATTGGGAGAGAAAGGAAAGAGTTTTCTGGACTTCGGTCGATTCTTGGAACGTGCCAGACTCTCTCCTGTCACTTAATTTTCTTTTTTTTTTATTTGACAGATAGAGTTAGACAGTGTGTGTGTGTGTGTGTGTGTGTGAGAGAGAGAGAGAGAGAGAGAGAGAGATAGAGAGAGAGATAGAGGTCTTCCTTCTATTGGTTCACTCCCCAAATGGCCGCCACGGCCGGCGCTGCGCCGATCCGAAGCCAGGAGCCCAGTGCTTCCTCCTGGTCTCCCATGCGGGTGCAGGCGCCCAAGCACTTGGGCCATCTCCACTGCCTTCCGGGGCCACAGCAGAGAGCTGGACTGGAAGAGGAGCAACCGGATCTAGAACCCTGCACCCACATGGGATCCTGTCGCCGCAGGCGGAGGATTAACCCAGTGAGCCACAGCGCCGGCCCCCGCACTTAATGTTTCCAGTGTCTGCGGCTTCCCCTCACTGCTTCAAGTGGGGCTCCTTCCTCTCCTTCAAGCCACAAGTGAAACACTGCTTCCTCAGTGAGTCACTCCCTAAGCACCACCCGAGGGAACCTCCAAAACGTGCTCACAGAATCCCTTCTCTTTCCCTCCCTCCCTCCCTCCTTCCCTCTTTCTCTCCTTCCCTCCTTCCTTCCCAGAAAAGAAGATGTTAAAATTTTTCTCTCTCTTTGCCCAACCTCGAGATCCTTCCTTACAGAAGGCAAGGAGGGGACTTAGAGACCTTCTAGTAAGAACTCAAAGAGAAAAAACAATGAACAGTGTTTGCAGCTTTCCAACCAGTCTCTCAAGGAAGGACCATGAGAGGATCCCAACACCAGGTAGTGAAGAGGGAGAAGCAGATGACGGCCTCTTCCCCACTTTAAACCTTGACCTGAGACCCTTGCGTTGGAGAGGAAAGCTTGGCGGGGACAAAGGCCATGGAGGTGAGACTGGAGGTGAAGGGAGAGAAGAGGAATCCAGGAGGGGAGCAAGTGAGTCTGTGTGAGGGGCCACAGAAGCTGGCCTACCATTGACAGCTGACTCTGTCGCCCAAGTACTGGTCCTAGGTTCTGAAATTCTGTGGTACTTTTTCCTAAACTGTGCCTTGTACACTCTCCCATTGTCAACATCCTAGAATGTGTGTATAGAGGGTGAGATCCTCATCACCTCCCCGTACTCTGAGGGACAGTAGTAATGACAGAGGAAAAGTTCCAGAACTGTTAGTTGGGTGATGCAGGACATCAGAAAAACTCATCTTGGCTACCTTAACATTATTTTCATCACATTATGAAACAGTTTTATGCATGAATTGCTTGTTTATCTTCTTGCTGTGGCGTAAATCCCACAGAAAGAGAAACTCCATTACCCTTATCTCTGGTATGTCTTCAATACTGAAAGCAAGGCCTGGGCCTATTAGATTTGTTGAACGTATACATCAAGAGTAGTCTTAACTGTGGAAAATAGAAATTATTGATTTTTATATTAATATTTCAAGTGCTGTCCATAACTCAAACTTACCTTACACAAGTAGCAAATATGAGTGATTTAGGAAAACTCCTAATAAACAAATTTATAATTAATAAATCACATATATAAATAGTTTTAA